CCACTCCGCCCCCCCCCCAAAAAAAAAATATATATATATATATATATATATATATATACACACACACATACATACATGTAGGGAGAAACTCTCTCACTCTGGCTGTGATTTTGTGAATGGTTAAGGGCGAAATGGGTTTTCATTAATGGAGTCTCTCTCTCTCTCTCTCTCTCGGGCTGTGAAGGGTTTAATTTTCTACTATTAATCATATATACGTAAAGTACTTTTCTCTACGTAAGTTGTTGGACCAAGGATAATGGTTGTGCAAATAATTTTTATGTATCGTGTTCGAGGAATTGAATATGTTAATCAAATAATGGTGAAATAGGCGATTTTTGTTTAGATTCTGCATACGTTTCTCGATCTCCACGTCATAAAATGGATGTTATTTGCCAAAAAAAGAAAAGAAAAATGATGAATCTGTTCCTGGTTTGTGTTGCATTTACTTTCTATCGTTATTAATTTTATTTTTATAGTTCGTGATTCTTTGTATTTTAATTGATTTTCCTTGTTAAAAATTTGTACCAAATGATTTGCTTGTTGGAGAACCATTATCCCCTTGAGAAAAAAGGTAGTTCTTGGAAGAATAATAATATTTAACACCAGTGATTCTAACAAAATCATTCTAAGTAGTCACAGGTTCAATTAAATGAATCATGTGATATTGCATTTAATTGAATATATTATTTAATGTTATGCAATTGCCAGCTACACTAGTGCTTGACAACAATGATGGCGAATATAATTACTCTTCTTGGAATTTGAAATTTTTAGTTTATTAAGGCCCCTTTTGATACTCATTTTTTTAAAATACATTTTTCTTTTTTTTTTTCATTTCAACCACACATTCTTTATTAAAATAATATTATACGTAAATCAAAAACTTTTCTTTATTGTTCAACCACACATTTTCCATCAATTTACTATTCAAAAATGCATTTTTACATAAAAATGTCTCTCAAACATCCTCTAAACATGCTGTATAATCAATGTTTCACTTTTTCTTGAATGCTTGAAATAATCGGGAAAATTTTGCCCAGTTTCTCCCCATTTTTTTAAACTCATTTTCAAACTTTTTTCCATAAAATTATTTTGTACGTGTACCTATAATTTTTTACTAATTTTTAATCACACATTCTTAGAAAAGTAACTTTTCACAAAATCTTTACCAAACATGAGCTTAATGTTAGCTTAAGCAATCATCATTCCTAGTGGTACTTTGATTCTTTACTTGAAATTTAGTATGAATTGATTAATAGGCTTGTGCGGTTATGTTTACTTTGATACCTTTTCAAAAATTTCAGTTCTTTACTAGATGTTCACTTGTATGTTATAATCAAGAACATAGATTCAGAATTGTACCAACATCGATATTCAATTTCTTGATTCAAACTAATTCACGAACATCCTGTTTTTAATTCACAAATTTTCAGTTTTTATTTCACGAAGTTAGCGTTACCAACCTTTAAGACTTCAATATATTATCCAAAATATAGACTATACCAGCTCGTGTGCACTTTTTTGTTAAAATCAAAAGCCTAATTCTGGATGGGATAGATCAATAAAAGTTAAAAACCAATTTATTTTCCCTTTAGTTATCTACCCAAATTCGGTGCCTAGTCATACTAGGCATCATTTTCATCTGTATATATAGATGAAAGATTCTGAATTCATGTCCAAGTCCAATCAAGCCATAATTGGTTTAATTGCAAGTGTTGTCCTTGAACTTTTATTATTCTTACAATTAAATCCAAAACTTATAGCAATTGCAATTGAGTTCAAGACTTTATAGGGTTACGACAAGGACTTGTTTAGACTTGTATTTTTTAAGCTCCAATAATAAAATCATGTCCATGCGATCTTAAAGCATCCAATCTAATTATTAGTCTTTACTTTTTCTACTAAAGGTAAAAGACTACACTCTTGAAATATATAAAATCACACAAGCTAAAATATATTTGCATTATTTTTTTTGACCCACAGTATATATTTTATTCCATTTGAGATTTGATAATTATTTATGAGCATAAATGATTATTTTGTCATTCTAATTATTCTCACCAATTTAAGTTACATTTTTTTCAACGGTTTTTGAACTAATTTACATATTTCGAAGTTGAGTCATCGCTGAACATAAACCTTAGATTTATAACTGTTGGATAAGAAATAAGAAGTCACTCGATCCATTTTTAGAACGATGATTTTCGACATGAATTCTTGTTCTTTACCTTGCTCGTTCTCAAGCTCCTAGCTTAGTGAGATCTTTGATCTATCAAATTGATTTCACCTATTGGTGAATCAGAGAGCCATTAAACTAAAAAAAAAAAAAAAAGATATAAACAACCCTTAGATGAAATACCCAGTGATCCAATGTAGTTTAATTCTCTGCACAGTCATGCTCTAGAATTAAATTTGAGTTCATTATTTCTGTTTTTGATAGATCTGTGACATTTTATGTGTTGTCTTTCGCGCCTTTATTTCTAGTAATAGTTATAAACCAGTTATGTCCATTGATAGTATGTGTTTCGGCTTTTATCTATCTATGAATTATATACATTGATCTTCATCTTGAGTTGGGGGTTGATTGTGCCCACCATAAAGGTACGTTGGAGTCTGACTTGCTTCTTTTTTAAAGGTTGGGAACTAACTTGCTATTGCGGAATAGATTGGGGGCCAATAGCGCAATATTTCTCTGACCTTTTTATGATTGTGAATATGCATCTTTTGATCGAACTTCTTTTAGAGGTTCAACTTAACGGCCTTGAATTTGCATTTCTGAATGTTCTTACAGGATGGAATGGGAAATACTTCCTGTGGGGATTATTTCGTCGTAAGAAACGAGATGAAGTTGCATGCCAAGATAGAGCCTTCTATTCGTACACAAGACCTTCAAAAGATTGCAAAGAATCTACAGCTACCACCACTTCACATGGGTACGATGTTGCACTATGCCTAAAAATTTAAGCTGTTAGAGATGAGACAAACTTATTTATTTAGCCCCCATTTGCCCCCTTTTCTTTCCATTTTTTCTTCTCACTCTTATTTTCAACCACACAATACTCCATAAAATAATATTACACGTAAATAAAAAAATTTCTTTCTTTTTTAACCACATATTCTTTTAAAAAACACTATTCTAAACATTAAAATTTGGAAGAAAGGGGGCCAAACGGGGGCTTAATTTATGTTTTCGAATACACCTCTCATGTGCAATGCTAGATTCATTTCTCTATCAAATACTTGATGCTTGCATAACATTTGATCACAAGACCTTGAACATTAGACCTCAGTCTAAAGCTTGTTTGGAAGAAATTATAATTTTATTAATAATTTGAAGTCAAAGTCAAACATTAATTTTAATTACACATTCATAACTACTATCCACACATTTCTTATGATTCATTACTTATCTTCATTATCATCCTATTGTAATCTCTCTCAAACAAGCATATGTTGAACTACTTTATGTTAAAAGTTTAAGCGATTATATAGTTGACAAATTATTTATTTGAAACTATCTTTTATTTATGACACTCGCATCGTTCTTTAAAGAAACGTGGATTGTCTAAAAGGATGTCCTGCATTGGATGTCAAAAGGGCCCAATGAAAGGACTATCCTCCGGGATTTTCATAGGCGTACTTGCAGAAAGTTTGGGAATTCGCATGCTTTATCGGAAAATGTGGTGTCAATGCAGGAGTAGAAGGTGATAAACAAGATGGTAGCTCGTCTCCGGGCATTTTACGAGAAAAAGGTGAAATGGCTTTGATTTGTTATTTATTATTACATTTAGACATGGAAATCCTCAGAACTATTCGCTTAGACAACACAGAGAGTGGCTTTGACATCTAAAAAAGTATTTACTTGGGACAATAAATGTATTGTTTGCATACAGTACTGAAGATTATTAATAGTGTTAAATTGGATTATTGACTATTTTTTTTCTTCTTTAGTCTTGTCTGTTTTTATTTAGTCAAATATACAAACATGCTATAACAATGTGAGTGCATTTACTGGTTTAATTTTAGAGATTAACATGATTCATTGTAGAATGTCACGATCTTCTTGTTTTGCCTTTTAATTGTAAGAATACCACTATGAATATGTATGGTGTTTTTTCATTATTGCTTTTTAATGTTGTTCACACATTTGGCAAAATGTATATCTTAGTGTCAATTTGTGTACGTCTATATCGTAAAGCTAGTCGAGCCTAAAAGCTTAAAGTTAAATGAGAGCAAACAACGATTTATTATTATTATTTACTCTACTACTATAATGTGTATGTTGATGTTCATAATTATAGAATTGTTATGGATTGACTGAAAGCTGATTGATTTTATGAATCATGAATGGTGCATGTAGAATGGGTTCGTTTGATTGCAAAGATGAAATTTGGGTGGACAGAAAACGAATTGAAGGGAATTGAATTGCCTAGAATTTGTTTTAGCGGGAATTGTCAATTAATAGTTTTTAATTGGTATAATTTTTCACCTAAAAAATGTTAAAATGAAAGTGTCTTTTAATGTTCGTTTGACTTTTTTTTTATGAAAGTTATCAATTTAAGGGATATTCACTTTTACAATTATTCCTAGAATTTGTTTTCAGTGCAAAAAATAATAATAATAATAAAAAATAAAATAAAAAAAATTCAAAAATCATCTATATTTTGATGTTCGTTTGGTTTTATTTTACATAAAAATTGTCAATTTTAGGGATTTTTTTTTAACAATTGTTTCTAGAATTTGTTCCCATTGCAAAAAAAAAAAAAAAAAAAGGTGGAAATTCCACCAAAATAAGGAAATGGCACATGTGAGCAAAAGATGGAAAATGAATTTCATGGAAAAGAAATGCAATCAAAAATGAAAAAAGTTGGAAAATGGAATTCAAGAGATATCAAGCAGGGCCTAATTTCTCTTTGGTGTGTTCAAGTTCTATTTTACTTTGGTTTCAATAACATGGACATAGTAATTCTCTTAAACTTGCCTCTCTAATTCAGAGCTTATAAACCAAATTCTTATTTTCAAATTCCAAAATCAACAATTCAATCACAGTCTATTCGAACTCTAGATGTTCTCTTTCACGTGTGAATCATCATTTCATTCACACATTATTCGAATGCTAGATGTTCTCTTTCTCGCATGAATCAACATTTCAATCACAATTTTTCGCGTAATTTTGATTTCAAATAAGAACGTTCATTAAATTGAAATTTATAAATATGCAACTGAATTTGTTCAAATACATTAAAAATTTAAATAATAACAGATCATTAATTAATTTGCATCCTCATATAGTCACCATAAAATCTAGGCGCAGTTTCTTCTTCATGGGCATTATAGGCATAACCCCCATGACTTGATATATCAAGCCCAGCTACTTCTTCATCTGCGGATATTCTCAAAACTCTAAGCCCATGAAGTACGTAAAACAAAGGGCCCATAGTAATACTGACCCAGCCCAATATAACAAAAAGTTCAACGAATTGGGCCCCAATCAAACCCCATCCACCGCCCAATAGAAGCCCATAAGATCTGTGGACCCCATCTAGGCCCGAATCATATGCTTGGATCAGAAATTCCTCTTTGGCAAACAATCCTGTAAAGATTAGGCCCCAAGCTCCACACCCACCATGTAATTGGGCTGCTTCTAGCGGGTCATCATAGTTGAGCTTTAGTGCTAATATATTAAGCCCAATAAGAACCCAAGCCGCAACGAACCCGCATATTATTGCAGCCCATGGTTCTACGACCGAGCAACCCGATGTGATTGCCACGAATCCGCCTAATAGACCATTGCATACGTCTAGGGCGTCCCAGTGGCCCACAAGCATCCTTCGACCAAAGAGTGTGACAATTCCAGCAGTGGACCCAGCTAACGTGGTTGTTACTGCGGTCCGACCTACTGCAGTCCAGTTACCTTGATTAGTCGTATTTGGATATGGGACGAGAATTTTGTTGAAAGACCCGGGATTGAACCCGAACCATCCAAACCATAACAAGAACGTTCCTAAAACAACCAATGTGGCATTATGCCCACGCATTGGCACGGGCTTACCAAAGGCATCGAACCGCCCAACTCGCGGGCCTTCTATGAAGGCACCCCAAAGTCCCGCAATGGCACCAACCAAGTGAACCACACCACTACCTGCAAAGTCGATAGCACCCGACCCAAACAACAAAGAACTTGAGCTCGGGCTGAGCCATCCACTAGACGACCAAACCCAATGGGCCACAATCGGATAAACGAACCCCGTCAGAAAAAAGGAAAATACCAAATATGCACTAAATTGTGTGCGTTCAGCAATGGAGCCACTGGTGATACCAGCAACTGCTATGGCAAAAGCCCATTGGTAAAGAAAGAAACTGTAATCATAAGAAACCGAAGGGATATCTTTAAGAGCAAAGTATTGAGTCCCAATAAATGGGTTTGAATTCGGGCCTTCACCAAATGCGAAAGCAAACCCGAATAGATAGTAAGAAAGGCTGCCCACAACGGCATCAACTACATTGGTGAGCATAATATTCATGGCATTCTTGGCCCGAACAGAGCCCGCACAGAGCATGGCGAACCCGAGCTGCATTACAAAGACTAAGTAAGCTGAAAAGAGAAGATAAACGGCGTTGATAGAATCGGCGACTGTGGATTCCCATGAAACTTCCATTTTTCCGGGAGAAAGAATGGTTGGTTTGAAGAGAATTTTGATAATCTGTGAGTTATTAACAGTGGGTTTGAAGAGTAGATAAAGATAGCAGCATGCAGGGCCCTGCCCACTTGTTCTTGTTGTTGACAGACTGAGCATTTTCATTCACTGACTTGTATGGATAACTTGACTCTTGGCTTTTGTGATTTTCAAACAACATGAAAAACATCAGAGTGAAATTTTAGGTTAATCAGAGATTTTGCATTTCTTTTTATTTGGATAGTGACTTGAGTACATGGCACTATTCATATAGAGGCCTGTAAGGCCCATAACATGTCGGTGGGTCTAATCTGTATTAAAAAAAAGAAATTTTTTTTTCTAACAATGTGAAAAATATTACTTTTTGGTTTACTTTAATGTACTACTTTCTGTCACGTGATCAAGCCGAGTATTCTTCTAGAAAAATTAACAAAAGTTAATTGAGAGACCAAAAAAAAAAAAAAGGTTCGACAACTAATACGAAATTTCACTATAAATTGACTGAAGGGAAAAAATCGCATGTATCAACAATTTAAAAAATAATAAAAATTCCTACTATACTAATGAATTATTCCTCTAATAATTGTATAAAATTGAATAAATAACACCAAAAATACTTCTCGTCAAATCTTTTATTTTAATGACTTGTAACTGAAAATAAAAGGGGTTAACATTACGTCAAATCATTAACTGTCAAGGAATTAATTTCGGTTTTGTTGTCAATTTCATTTTTTCGACTGCGGAAGAAGTGTAAAAATCACTTTAATCACTGCTGGAGTTAAAAATTGAAATTACTGACATCATCGAGAGTGTATGTCAAATTTATTTTCAGTCGTAAAAAGAGGAAAGAAGTGTAAAAATCACTTTAATAACTGCTGAAGTTAAAATTGAAATTACCAACATATTCATAGAGAGCGTATATCAAATTCATATTTTCAATCGTAAAAAAAAAAAACATATTTATATTTCTGAAAGGCAATAGAGATAGGCGAAGTGTCAGCGCTGCTGTTTTTGTTGGTTTTACTCACATAGATAGGAGACTAAATCAAATGATACGCAATATGTCGTGTTTCAAGGGAAATTAACACACTAATGGATATACAATATGTCGTCCTTCATGCCATCATCATTGCCGAAGGACACATATATGCTCATGTAGATAACTAAAGACGAAATAATATGAGCAATATAAAAATAATGGATCACAAAGAAAACAAGATTTAGTGGAAATCTAAATTCGGGAAAATCATAAATAGAGACGGAAAATTTACTATAATCAATAGTAAAGAGTTACAAAGAATCTCTTTGGATCAATAACTAATTGGACAATTCCAATATATGTTGTACACCACATATTTATAATCAAAGAATCCCTAACATACTAGGAGAATTAATACATTGACTTTAATATAAGATGAAGTTTTAATAAAATGATTAAAACCAACAATGAAGAATTTATGATGAAATAGGAGTTAAATTCACCTTAGACTCCTACAAATCATTTTCAAGTTTACTACCAACTCATCTAATAGTATTTCTAATCAAATATTCAACAAGAATTCGGGTCACAACCCAATTCTAACAAACTCCACCTTGATACGAATTTCATCACAAAGAATAAAATTTAATTCTTCAACTACAACAAAATTCTCCAAACAAAACACTCCATCATATTACTCTACATCTTCCACCATGCCCCTCTATACATACTCAACAAGTGTGAACTAACTTCAAGCATTGCTTATCGACAGGATTACCTTGGGCACCAAACTTGATTGAATCACCACAGACAACAAAATCATCAAGTTCACAAACTAACTCCATCCGAGTTAACAAATTTGTTTAAATTATCCCCACGAGCAACAAGAGCACAACTCCTTACGTTGCTTTCCCTCCAGCGTCCAAATAAAAATCCACCATAACAAAATTTGTTGTTGCAAACTAAAAGTGGAATCTCAAATTCAAACTTGTCATCTTTGAAACAATCAACCTTATTCAAACATCGTTTTAATAACTAATCTGGCCTTCTTAAGAATTGTCAAAACCTTCGCTCTGATATCACTTGTTATAATTTGGACTAGACCTGAAACCACTTTATTGAAAGCAAAATAGCTCTAATACTAAATTGGTGAGAATCCAGGCAAATAATTACAGAATGAGAAAAATATAAGCAATATGAAAATAATGAATCACAAAGAACATATGATTTACGTAAAAACCCAAATTCAGGAAAACCACATTCAGAGACGGAGAATTCATTATAATCAATAGTAAGAAATTGCAAAGAATCTCT